GGTGGTCCCCTGCCTTGATTCTAACCCGGGGTTAACGCTGGGAAATGAATGAGGCGACCTTTGACCCGTAATCTCTCACCTCATTCCCAAAACTCCAACTGAAACTTCCACATTTTTATTTCTCTACTACTAGAGTTAGCCTCCCCTATACTCCCTGAAGTGATTTTGTATCATCCGAGCTCATAAACATGTCAGTCGGGGTCCTGCGTATTTAAAAAACCCAAATGATGCTATCGGTATGGTAAACAGAGAATAAGTTTATAACAAATAGTCCTAATGGGCTTCCAGGCTGCTGACAGGGAAGTGGTTGCACTTCAAACAGGAGCAGTTGGTGAAGTGGCCACAAATTGGGTCCGCGGTACCCAGAGTCAACAAAAATTACACTGGATTACGGACCCAGTGAAAGGAAGCCCCCGCAAAACAGACTGGTGTCAACTTTGGGATCAAGACAAATGATACTGGCTATCCTTTTTATTCTATAAACAGGTTTAACTTCAACAGTTTGATGGACTTCATGAGGCACTTGATTTAACATTTTATACACAACAGAAACGTAATAGGCCTAAAGATTGGAAGCTCGTCACTAATGCTGGGCGAGTAAGTCGATTACTCGAGAACTTGCGAGTAGTTCATGATACTCGTTGTTTTACTCCTGGTTTTTCATCTACTCGAGTGCTCGTCCTGGCGCGAGTCTAAGCAGGTACCGGTACCGGGTTAAGGATTCACGGCTTAATACGTCCCCTGCAAACAGGGAATCACTCCCTCCACCTCTCTCTCCCTAGGATTCCATGAATCAAAAATTAAAAAAAAAATCAAGTAAATGACCAAAAACGTCGCAGAGTAAGGATAACTCAGTGCTGAAGAACGTGGTGTGACTTGCATGCTATTTTCCTGCTTTTATGAGAATTTGGGAAAACTACTTGCCCAGTAGAAAAATCCACTACTCGCCCAGTAGAAAAATCCACTACTCGCCATGCCCAGGCCAACTCGTCACTAAAACTGTTGAAGGCAGTTTTTGATTGTTTGCTGCACTTATTTTTTACACCGAATCTATTGATTTAGATTTTACATGCACATGTACTGAACAAAACATTGGGACGGACCGTCACAGACGGACTGCTCAATACTTTTCTCACGTCATGACTCGACTTGACTCGAGACACTGACAAACAACGTGCAAACAACACTGGGCCACTTAAACTTCAACTTTCGAACTCTGTCTACAAGTGTAACTGTTGGGGGCAATCAGTAGGTCTACGCCCAAATCACACTGCGCTACCAGTCTGTCGCACTTTGCTATCGGTCGACCGTTCCGCTCTAGGTTGATCACATTTGCCACCCATCGACCACTTTTTCTGTCTAATTCACCACTCTGAAGGACTGTTTTGTAAAAGGGAGGTAAAGTCTGAAATTTCCTACAGGAAAATCGCACAAACATATTTCCGCACAACTGAATAATAGCACAAATCGACCGATCGCACCCAACACAGTACCACTACACAAACTGTTCAGACTGACCAAACAAGACCAAGCTGGCTGAAGCACAGTCAGTAACACTGGAGCAAGAAGGTAGGCGGAACGTCCTGTCGTCGCCACCGATCCTCCACTAGAAAACGTTTCTATTGAGAACCCCACTTCATCCTTTGTGCTATGGCAGAGTGGAGAGTATAAATCCACTCACGCTGTGTAATGCCGAAAGTATTCATGAGCTTTTATCCATTCATGGAAAAGATCCTGGCAAACAGTGGTAAGATCAGAGCATGTTTGCCGAGCGCACACTGACAAACAGAGAAGGATGGCTCAGCGTATTTAAAGAGCGGCTGCTAGCACTTGATCAAGAACTAATCAAGAGGTCCTCACAATGGGTGGCGAAATCTTTTGATCCAGTAGCAATTGGACTGGACCAATATGGTCAGTGAATAATACCGGTGGTTGAGCCCTGTCAGTAAACATGATCAAGCCGCCATGGACTGGTTTGAAGGAAGGAATGTGGATGGAACAGGACTGCTGAACAATTAACTCAAAACATCATCAACATTGCAGACATTATAAAGGGCCCATGCAATATAATTTTTTTAATGAAATCCCTGAAAATGCACTTTTGTGTCCAGCTTAACCTTATTTTAATTTTCGTTTTGCTATTTTCAAGGGCATTTTGGTGCCTTGTTTTTATGATAATGCGAAATTCCATATTCATGAGCAAAACTGTGTAGTCATTCCGGGCAGAAACCTCGATGTTACAGCTATTTCAGCACAAATAGTTTCTGGAAGTTTGGATATTTTTGCTGTCGTCAATTTTCTTTTCTTCGTTGATTCATTGTTGTGTCAGTACATGGTACAAAATGTAGTAAGCCGATGAGCAAACCTTTCTTACAAATTTAATGAGCAAATTCCGGGTTCACAATTTTAACAGCAAACCCCTAAACTGAACAGTGTCTTCCTGAAATGACATCACACCAGCAGTGCCCTCAGTTATTCAAAGTATGGACAATTTTAAATGTTTAAAGATGTGCACTTTTCAATCAAATTAACCAAAAAGGGATGTCAAATAGTAGTGCAGAACAGAACTTTAAGTTCACGGCGCATTTTTAAAAAACGCTTACAAAATTTGTACAAATTACAAACATCACGCTCTTTTGTAAGTTTACATGTACCCATAGAGCAAGGAACAGCAATTTGCAACCATCAGCAAAGGAAAGCAAGATTTATCACTACAACCTCCCCAAACAACAAAAAAGTCCCGAACATAAATCCACGTGAGATTCTTCAATCCACCAACACAGTCGTAAACTGTTAAATTTAACCACTCTCCCAACGATTATGACCCGCAGTTTATCAACAGTAGTCAAGTGCAAGGGTCTTAGACAGAAGGGGGGGGGGGGGAGAGGGAATACCGAGTCTTGGATGCCAAGTTGTCAAGGAGCATGAATCCCCACCGGATGGCATTAACTTCTTGACCCTACCATTACCGTCTACTGTTTTGTTTCATCTCGGCCAACGATTGCGATAAATGACGGGAGCGGGATGGGTTGCCATCCATGGCAACTGGCCAGGTGGGAGCGAAAAAATTGTTACTCGGAAACACAATTACCGCAACTGTAAAATGTACCTCCACAAACAGCAATAACAATAGACGCTTATATGACATTATCTGACACACGAGGGCTCACTTCAATTACCTTATGGATGTTTGTTTTTTCCCTAAATATTTGACTGAGTTCATGAAGATAAAATAAATACCGTTAATTCTTGAATGATAGGGGTGTGAACTTAACTGAGTGATATGACTTGGGGCATCTAAAATGCAATGATTCCGGTGATTTTTTTTCTCCTTTGTTGGCACATGGGTTTTGTGAAAAGGGGACCCTCAGTTTTGGCTTTATTTTGAATCGTCAAGTGAGGGTTGCCTTGCGTAAACCAGCCATTCAAAAGGCGCTATTTTAGTGGTTTGTTTAGAGAACTTCTAAAAATTAAGACGTCAAAAAAAGCTGAAAAGTTCAATCAGCTTCTGCCCCTTTTTCGCACAAGGTCTAAAGGCCGGTTCACACTCGGTGCGAAAGCAAACGTGAACACGATTTTGTGGCATCGTGGCAAGTATTTGTGCTGCGAATTCGCAAAAGTTGAACACATTTCAATGCCGGAGAATTTCGCAGCGAATGGTTTTTTAGGTGAAATTGTGAACCGGCTTTTCAGACAGCATTGGGTACACTATGGGCTCCGAGCGCCAACAAAAGAGGGCGCGTTTTTACCACTTTTGAGAGCCCCTTGGACGGGACACTACATGTGCGTACTGTACTGGTTCGCGCGCAAAGTACGCACAACTTATTTATCCTGAATGTGCAAAGAGCTAAGCTATAGTGCCCTCGCGCTTGAGCATCAGGTGTCGTCGGCATGCGAATACGTTCAAATTTAACTTGCGATGGTCTCCCATCTAGGTCTCCCCCCTACTATTCTTTTCTAGCCGTTGAAGGGGTACTTGTGCACGGAGCCCAAACAGCGCTTAAGTAGACTTTCATTGTTGAATGAAAGGTAAACTTGAGTGTTAAAATGTGCATCTTCCTGATACATCATCAAGGGACAATGTACACTACATATCAATTTTGTAGAGCGGCCCATCACAAGTCCTCACAAGTCCATCACAAGTCATTCAGTCCCAAGTCACAAGCTATTCAAATGGTCCTGCCACAAAGGTATATTCCTTTGTTATTGTTCATCCCATTTGTTGTGACTTTGACTTGTGAATTGACTTGTGACTTGACTTGTGATAGACTTGACTACAAGTTCAGTGCACAGCCACTGATTATAATGCACCTGTCAATTGTAAGGCAGACCCCATGAACTCCCCTTTTTCAGGGCTGTGACACAAGGGTGTGTCAAGTCACGATTTGGTGTGTCTAAGGCCAAAAAAAAAAGTCTCCGGTTTCTGGTATGCGTTCGCGTCGCTGTAGCCATGCGCGTCGGCAAAATGAAAAAGTTTTTTTCTCAATGAAAGATGATGTCTCAAAACTGCCAAACTCACTGGTTTGACTGGAATCCTGCTGCTGCACAATTTTAACGTGTTTTTGGATGGGGTTATGATCGAGAATAAGCTTTGTGTGGCCTCTCTGGACTCCCATATATTTGCACTAAGTTTAGTCGGGCACCATTTGCAGTCATCAGCCGACATATGAGGCAAAAAAAATCAGGTAAAAAAAAAAAAAAGCCGCGTCGCCGCACCACTTTTTGGGCAAGCTCCATACCAGAAACCAGAGACTTTTTTGGGGGGCCTAACAATAGGGTTTGCCGCTTTTCCTCAGTAGGTGCATCACAATCTGTAAAAAGTCGGTCAAAGAGGTTGCCAAATAGCATCAAAACTATACATTTGTATAGATGCCACAAAGGGATGACCCACTGTTGGACAATGACGCACCATTCCCGGGGGTCATATGGGTGCGTCTAACAATTGATAGGTGCATTACAATTTGGTTCTTGATTAATTCTGGGCAATGGGGTGACGGTACCTTGTTCTTCAGGTGTGTTCCTAGGGCTACTGCTGGTTCTTCTCTTCTTCGTCTCGGCTTCATGACGCCTGACTGTGGCCATCGTTCAGCCTCGGTCATCCACTCACCTCAACTGTCTTAACGTTACTGCTTGCATTTCTTGAAAAAAAAAATGAAAAAAAATAAGTACAGTATATGTTTAAGTATACATTTTACAGTGTAACTATTCTGGGAAGCATTTTGAACATACATATTGTTCTCCTGATGGTAAAATTTTTAAGACCGACCGGTATGAATACAATTACAACACGATTCGCAACATTGATTCAACGTGAAAACTTCAACCGTATCAACTGACTACTCCAAGACACCAGATGCGGTTCCTTGAATTCCTTCTGTACAACATATACATCAAATACATACTTCATGTACAACCTTGAAGTCAAAAAATTTACACTTCAATATCTTAAGACAAAGCCAAGAAGTGAAACACTCCCATGTAAATGTCCATCGACAATGCTACACTGACAATGTCTGTGCTTTGTGGTAACCCAACCCGCAAAGCTTTTTGGCTCTCAGCCTCACTCCATGATGAGCATCCTAGCTGAACTTTGAACTCAACAACTCAACTGGAGTCGCCCCCAGGGTGATTTCGGGAGACAGAAACAGTGCCTTCAGCTCACTGGGTCAACACTCAACAATCCAATTATAGCAAAACCATCTACATGTACATGTACCGGTATATCAGGCTTTAAGTTGAGGAATGAAAAAATTCAGTAAGTTGAATATATACATGTAGGGTTCTTTGTTAAAGGGCCCGTGCAATGTAATTTTTTTAAATGCAATCCTTGAAAATGCACATTTGTGTCCCGGTTAAAGGGAATATACATCATTTGCTTTTGCTGTAATTTTCAGAAATGGATGGAATTGGGGGGTTGGAAGTATATAGCAAATATAGTTACACTGACTTTTTTGAGGTTTTGGGTTCAAAAATGCTATAAAACTAACACAAACAATCATTTTCCTGTAGTCCGGTTCCCTGACTCCATATAAGAAGAAACAGAGCAGTTTACATACATGCACATTGGGGAATTGTAAGGTCAGGGAACCAGTCTAGCTGGCTTGTACCCGTTCATAGGTGTGTAATCGATTGCAAACAAGTGCGATGGTCAATTGGGGCCAGTCTTTGAAAAAAAGCCAGTTTTTTTTCCAATGCTGGTCGGCCGACCAGCGTTGGAAATTGATACAAAAATACCACTTTTCTTGAAAATGACAGTATACCAGGTGCCATGATTTTACAGGATGCTTTACACTGTCATTCACTAACAGTCCAGCAAGGTATTTCAAAATGATTTGGTAGTTTTATTTTTTGATGTTTGCAAATGTTGTATTTTTCCTTTAAGTTGAGGAATGAAAAAATTCAGTAAGTTGAATATACATGTAGGGTTCTTTGTTAAAGGGCCTGTGCAACGTAATTTTTTTAAATGCAATCCTTGAAAATGCACATTTGTGTCCCGGTTAAAGGGAATATACATCATTTGCATTTGCTGTAATTTTCAGAAATGGATGGAATTGGGGGGTTGGAAATATATAGCAAATATAGTTACACTGACTTTTTTGAGGTTTTGGGTTCAAAAATGCTATAAAACTAACACAAACAATCATTTTCCTGTAGTCCGGTTCCCTGACTCCATATAAGAAGAAACAGAGCAGTTTACATACATGCACATTGGGGAATTGTAAGGTCAGGGAACCAGTCTAGCTGGCTTGTACCCGTTCATAGGTGTGTAATCGATTGCAAACAAGTGCGATGGTCAATTGGGGCCAGTCTTTGAAAAAAAGCCGTTTTTTTTTCCAACGCTGGTCGGCCGACCAGCGTTGGAAATTGATACAAAAATACCACTTTTCTTGAAAATGACAGTATACCAGGTGCCATGATTTTACAGGATGCTTTACACTGTCATTCACTAACAGTCCAGCAAGGTATTTCAAAATGATTTGGTAGTTTTATTTTTTGATGTTTGCAAATGTTGTATTTTCCCTTTAACCTTATTTTCAATTTTCGTTTTGCCAGTTTCAAGGGTATTTTGTGCCTTATTGGCTTTTATGCTAATACAAATTTCCATATTCATGATGAAAATGTGATGTCATTTCAGGCAGAAACTTCACTGTTTACAGCTAGTTAAGCACCCAAAAGTTGCCAGAATTTTGGATATTTTGCTGTTGTAAATTTTCTTTTCTCTGGTGATTTGTTGTTGTTTCAGTAATAATGACAGTCAGCCAATGAGCAGACTTTTCTCATAAATGTTTTCAATGAGCAAATCTTTGGGTTCACAATTTGAACAGAAAACCCCTCCACTGAACAGTGTCCTCCTGAAATGACATCACAGCAACAGCGCCCTAGTTGTCCAAAAAAGCATGGACCAGGTTAAATGTTTAAAGAAGTGCTTTTTTCAATAAAATGAACCAAAATAGTTCTCATACATTTAAGAAGAGTAGAAACTTGCAAAAATATGTGTTCCTCAAAAAAAATTCATTTCATGGAACATTTTAGAAATGTATTTTGTAATTTTACACCAGTTTCTAACTGGCTGTCATGTTGATGTCTAAAACTCAGTAAAAAAAGAAATATAATTAATGATATATAAAAAGATTGTAAGTAATCGGTATCAGAAACAAAACATCCCGTCACCATGATGGAACCTGGATGATCTTCAAAGAATAGAAGTACATTCCAGAAATATTACTCTTAAAATTACCGTATTATAGTCCATCATTTGCAGCCATCCGAAAAGTAACTGGCGTAATTATTGTTGAAAAAGATACTTGGTTGAAAGATAGTAAGGGGACTAAACTCCCTGTGAAATTTTTCTTTCTGGCAAGCTGTCATTTTGAAGAAATCAACGAAAGAAGGCCTTTCCAACGGTGCGTCTTAAGACGCACCGTAGGAAAATTTAAATTAGTAGTTCGTTTTGTTATTCCGCAAAGCACGCACAAGCATTGGCACGATGCACGCGCGCGAGCGGTTGCTATAATTTGTCGGATTAGTGCGCGACATCGCGTATAGCTGCAAACAGCTCAGTGAGAACGTGTCTCGGACGTTGAATTCAGGCCCAATTCAAAACATGATTCAGCGACTTTTGATTTGAAATTGAGATCCTAGAATGCTGTTTTTCTCGGAATATACAGCTGAAGCTGAGCTGAAACTTCATCAGGTCAGTTGTTCAGTATCCTTCATTAGATTTTGAACACTTTTGTTGCTTCAAACGAACAAAATGCACAAATTACAAATGATGGACTATATCTTTAACTAGGAGCACCCAGAGTCTTCCAAGCTAGTTACAAGCACTTCCTTGCTAGTGCTACATGTATTCCCTTATCAAAAATAATTCTTTGATGAATCACACTACATGCACCGTATTGCTCCAAGATAATATTTCTCCATCCCAAGGAAAGAATGTTGGCAGTGTTCCCAGGGGAAGAATAAGGGCCAAGCCCACTTGAAACCACAGCCCATTAGTCCAAGGCCGGCCCTCCAAGCATCCCAACTGATAACCTCTTCCTCTAGCTCTCTACCATCTCTGAACTTCCGGCTCATATTTTTTCCCACCAATAAAAAAAAATGTTTATTGCACCTGCAGGGCTTTTGATCCTCCCTGCCTGGTTTTTCTTCTTCCCACTCCATGTTTTGTTTTTGTTGTCTTTCTTTTTTGAGTATTAACATGGCTCTGGGTGTTAATTTGTTAGCACATTCTGAAGGATGCTTAGCGCCACAAGATTAGAGTTAATTGGGTGTGAATTCGCGGGAAGTAGTAGGCATTTGTTGTTGCTGCTAAGCTTAATCCATTTTCCTGTCAAACAAAGCGTCACTGGAAGCTGGAAGTGAGTTCTTGCATGTCTCATGTATATTCATAAACAACACCAAAGTACAGGATGCTTTTCTTGACAACTTCAAAGGGGTATCTGTGAACATGATAATGTTGTATGTACTTGTGTATATCATGAAAAGCAGTTTTCTCACAAAACTTTATGGGAGTCAGGCTCCTTCTACCGTACTATTAAGACAAAGGCACTGAATATTGTGCATCATAGACTCTTTACATTAGCCCCATAAATGTGGCCAATTTACTGGACTACCTCCGTAAATAAAGGCCACACTTCCACCATGTACAAAAACATGTAGAACTTTGATTTTCACATTTAGGCTTAGTTTGTACATGTAGTTTATTTTTGCTTTAGAAGCATACTCGCCCTCATTATAGGCTAATCAGAAAGTGCTGCCTTTTTCAGATGTCTAATTCTCGTGAAATTTCATGTTGAAATTTTGATACGCAAACATGTGCAAACGAATCTGGAAATTTCACGAAAAATAGACATCTGAAAAAGGCAGCACTTTCTGATCAGCCTATAAAGAGGGTGAGTATGCTTTTAACGCAAAAATAAACTACAAACTAAGCCTAAATGTGAAAATCAAAATTTGACAAAGTTCGACATGTTTTTGTACATGGTGGAAGTGTGGCCTTTATTTACGGAGGTACCGGTAGTCCAGTAAATTGGCCACATTTATGGGGCTACCGGTGCCTTTACATGTACACGTGTATGTAGATCAGAAGAAGGCAGTGAAGCCTTTTCAAAAGCTGTGTAGGTTATAATGTTATGTACAAGTATGCTGCATTGCATCCTGGAATAGTTCGTAGTACAGATGGGGATTTTGCTTGGCGAATATTGTTTATAATGCAGTGCAATATGTACTTTCACTGCACATTTCCAGTTTGGTGCCTTGGTGTCTCTCTGTTTAATGCATCTTTCATCTTATGTTGGGTAACTGGTTCTATCCACCCACACCTGCCCGTATGCCCCGCCTATGGTGTCACTATCAACATGGGGCTGTAAACCAACTTGCACTGTAAAGTCTTGTAATATGTTTTTTCTACAATTTTGTGGTGGAACTGGAAAAGAGCACCAAGAGCACCTCTTTATTACAGGAAGACTATATCCAATTATTAGCCTGATCGATGGCCCAACAACATCACAGCATTGTACCCACATTCAATTTGGGCACACTTGTTGCTGCCACTCATAATCAGACATGTAATGATATCCGACATTCCGACACTGGAGGGGGTCCAAATTTACAACCAGCAGGCCATGGCA